ATTTTATGCAAATGCGTAAGACATTTGCATAAACTTTGGGTAAAAAAAACCACATGGGTAGTGTTTGATTGGTTTGAGTTTGGCTCCAAAGGTCAAAAGTACCAGGAGGTCACAGGTTCAAATCCAAGGAGGAATAAAAATCCCCTTGTAGCCACGGAGGTTCAAATGCGGTGACTCTGGGCTATCTGCAAAGTAGGTGGTCGTTTTGGGATTAGTTGGCTCGCATAGCGGGTTGGATATCCAGGTTAATCAAAAAAAAAAACTTTGGGTAAAATAGGAATTCAGTTTCAAAAGTGGTTTATTGAGAAGATTAACTATTTTGGTCAATTTCCCTAATAGACACCCACGTTCAAACACTACAATATATTGAGGGGTTGTTTGGTAATTGTTGAATTGTTTGGTACAAGATGATTAAGTGATCAGAATGATTAAGAAACTCTTATGATATACTGCAAAATGAAATATGGTTGTTTAGTAATTGTTTAGAATGAAATTAGAGCATTTGATGGTTTAGGAAGGCTCAATATACAAAATCATTTGGAGGGTTTTAGAACCATTAAGAGACGAACCTTTTTTTTGTCAAACAAGATTTAACTCTTAGCGATTAAGATGTTTCCTTTTAATGGAACTATTAAAAAGTAAACAAACAGACCCTGATTATTTTAATTGAAAACTTGATTTGAAAACATTGACATCTTTCAAAATATTAACTGTTATAATTTCATATAAAAAATTCAGTAGAACAGTATTATACGATAAATTATCAAATGAGTTGTGGATTTTTTGTAAAAATATGCTTTTAAGTGTTTGAAAAATATTTCGTCAATATATATATTTTTTCAATCAAACAAAAATAGACGTTAATTATCTGACTTCTTATGATATTTGAATTAGTCAGTACGAGTGAATGTGGCTTAAATTTGTATGGTCCGTTACATGTACCATGCATTTATGTGAAAGAATAGAAAGAAAAGTACGTAAGAAATTACGTACATATTTAATTTGAATATATATATATATATAGGGGCCTAATCAAATGAGAACTAATTAGTTTGTGGTAACTGTGAGAACCAATATTAATCACAAATCAAT